AACTTTGTACACAACCTCCACCAGTTCAGTGTTTCACCACTGCTAGCCACATCCCTGCTCATTTTTTTTCTGCTCAAAAGTTCCTAATTTCTCAAATTCATTTGTTTTGTTTTTTTTTTTTTGGCCTCCAACTCTTAGTTCAATCAGTTTCTCTTAAAAGGATGGCACACACTGCCCAGTGCAGCTGCTCTCTGGATCCACCACCTCATCAAGCTGGAAGAGGACAGTGCACTGCAGTGGTGCAAGAATTCACCACAAGGCAGGAATTTCACTCACAGCAAATTAAAAAGCCAAATCCAGTGATGAAACTGTGCACTTGTCAGTAGAAACCTGTGACAGATGAGGAATGGACAGAACACACCATGAGCACGTGTTGATAAAGAGGAAAAAAAAAAAGGGGCAAATTGCCTTTGTTTTGCCATTGAGAAGGAACATTTTGCCAGTTTTCTCCTTGTATCCTTCTACAGCTGCTCACCTTTGGCACAAGGAAATCTAGGTATGACAAGATTTCATTAATAATAATACTTCATATCAACACTCAGCACTTACACAGTGCTGCTCATAGTCAAAGTGCTTTACAAAAGCTTGTGAGACCTCACAACACCCCTGTGAGGTAGGTAAGTATTATTATCCCCATTTTACAGATGGGGAAACTGAGGCAGAGAGGTAAAGTGACTTGCCCAAGGCTATACAGGGAGTTGAAACTCATGTTGTAGTGACCCAATTCTGGGGTAACATAGCTGAACTCCCACAGAGCTCGACTGGTGTGAGCCAAACAATCCAACCCAAGTTTCTCTGGCTCTCCAACCTCTGCTCCGGCTAACTGACCATCCCAGCTCCACCTGAACCAACATTTGCCTTCCTAAGCACTGCCCAGAGTCCAGCAGGAGCTGGAGCAGATCTGCAATCTTAAGGCAATGTGTAGAACAGCTCCACAGCTCTGCAGCAAGTTGGACACACAAGGATGTGCTTCTGCCATGCTGCAAGAGTCTCAACACAACTCAAGAGTTCTCCAGCTCTGCACGTTATCTGCTTTGAGGCTGATTCTCTTCTCCCTCAGAGTAAACCCAGAGCAAAACACTGGGGCTGCACCAGTGTTGTACTAACACAAGATCTGACTCAGACCTTCCACCTGCTGCTTTGTAGGCAAACACTCCTACAAATCCCTTCTCATTTTTCAGACACCTTCGGCAGGTTCATTTCACTCTCTCTCTCTCTCTGAGTTTGTATCTCTGCAAAAAAAACTTCCAACACTTCCAGCTCCTCAGCACCAGCATTTCAACAGCACCAGACATCTTTCTAAAACCAAGCCACATTTCCAGCAAAGTGTCAATGCATGCAAATATCACATCCAGGAACATCGAGAGTGCTGGGAGATGATACCAAGGGTAGAGGTGATCACAAGACAGCACACGTTTAGTTTTTATTAAAAATACCAAACAACTCACTCTTACTGTAACTATGCCACTGAGATTATCATCCTAACCTGCACAAGTACAGGTGCTTCTCCTCCAACTATCTACCTACCTAGAAAATAAGAGAAATATCAAGCACACACATTTATACTTCCTCAAACTTGGCAGGCATGATCCATGTGAAGGGGAGAGGAGGGCTAGGGGAGGAGGGGGAGGTTGTATGCTCAGTTTAGGGCAGTGGAATACAAAAGAAATAGAAAACATCACATGCATCATTACCATCAGTAATCAACCTGATGAAAAGAAACCCAAATATTAGATGGATTCATGTATGACATCCACTGAAAATCTCAAACCCTAAGCACACTGAAGCTGGCAAACATCTTGTGCCACTTCACCTAGGTCCAGACACAGCATCAGCAACTAAGATCAAACAAACCTTGAAAAGAAAGCAAAAAAAGGAAGAATACACCAACCTGGAGACAACAATCTTCCACAAACCACTTCCCTGCATTATTTGCAAACACATTTTACTCTTAAGCAGTTTCAGAAAGGAGTGGGGGAGAAAGAGACCCACTGCTATGTTTCTTTTCAAACTGGCTCAGCACCAGCACCAGCTCAGAGAGAGGGAGAGAAAAATAGTTCTTCAAACATAATCCTTGGTACTTGATTAAAACATTGCCAGCCAGCTGAGGAACCCTGAGCTGCCTGAGGGCTCGAAGTGGAGTGGATTCACGGTGCTGCTCATGGTCCTCTTCACCTGCTACGATATCTGCTCTGTGGGTCTCATCTGTATATCTCCAATCTGGAAGAGACCAACGCAGCATTTTACTGGAGCACTGAAGCCCATTTGAAACCCTGCCCTGGGCATCTCCCTGCTGCAGCACTGCAGTGTGGAGCTGCCTGCAGAGAAAGCTCCTGTGACTAGGAATGAGCCTCCTTAACTGAGATGTGAGAAGGAAATAAAGTCCCTGATGGATGTGCCTGCTCTGCCTTTGGCAGGGGGATAAAAGCTCAAATATTTGCAAAAGAGATGGCACTGGTTACAAACTCTCATGGTTCGAGTGTTCAGTTTGGTCCTGCTCCCATAGGGTCAAGCAGCACTGCTGGATCAGCCCCAGGCAGGACTTTTTCTCTTTTTAGGACAAGAAGGGCCCCACAGATCCAGTGTTGAGACAGCCACGTCTTGCTCCAAGGAGCAGAGTTCACCCAAGGGGCTGTTAAACCTCTCATGATCAAAGTCTGCTTTCACAACAGGAACTTTCATGTTGCATGTACTAAACACTGACACTGCCTCCTCCTGGCTCCAGCTCAAAGCTGATCACCTACTTCTGGTTTCACAAGAGGAAAGTCCCTCTGGCAGCACAAGCATCTCACACACCCTCAGGGAGGTGTGCAGCACTTGGCAGGATCAGGCCCAACACATCATTTGGCAACTGGCAGAACCTGAGTCAGCTGCAAGATGCTCAGCAAATCTCAGATGGCACCACCCAAAAGGGCAGAACATGCCCATACACCTCACATTCCCCCTGCCCTGCACAGTCCTTCCCTGGGGTCAGAGAATCATAGAATATCCTGAGCTGGAAAGGATCATCAGTCCAACTCCTGTCCCTGCACAGGACACCCCAACAATCCACCCTGTGCCTGAGACCATTGGCTAAACACTCCTGGTGCTCTGTCAGCCTTGGGGCAGTGACTACTGCCCTGGGGCGCTGTTCAGTGCCCAAACATCTCTGGGGGGAGACACTCCTCCTGATATCCAACCTCACCCTGTTCCAGTGCCCAAACAGCTTCTAGGGGAAGAACCTTGTCCTGATATCCAACCTCACCCTGTTCCAGTGCCCAAACACCTCTGGGGGAAAAACCTTGTCCTGATAACTAACTTAAACCTGTTCCAGTGCCCAAACAGCTTCTAGGGGAAGAACCTTGTCCTGATATCCAACCTCACCCTGTTCCAGTGCCCAAACACCCCCTGGGTGAAGGCCCAGGGTCAGCACAGCCTTTGCTGGACCTGCAGGGCTGTGAGCAGCCTGAGCAGTGCAATCCCATAGCTGCCATGAGAGAAGTGTAAACAAACGTGATCAGCACTAATCCCAGCCCAGGCTCACTGAGCTCACAGCTGATCCAGGGCTGAGCAGCAAATGTCAGGGCAGCCCTTAATTCCTCCACCTTCAGCCACCCAGAGCTCCTCCAGCCCAGCCACAGCTTACCTGTACATGAGGTGGGGCACTGAGGACATATATGACAGCATTAGCCATATCTTCAGCTTTGAGACACTGGAAAGACAGGAAAGGGATTCTCAGTCAAAGGGCAGCACAGAAAGTTAAACCACAGGATCACTCCTCTCCTGACCTTCAATAATGAGTTTCGACAGTGTCACTGAGGCATGTCAGAAAGATGCAAGCAAGCAGGAAAGAAAATAATCCATTAAAAATTTAACAAAAGGATGTGTCTGGTGCTGGTAATTCTCCAATTGCTGTGAATAATCTTACTACTGGCATGGTAATTCTGCCAGGTCAGGCATTGCCATCCTTATCAATAATTCCCAGAGAACCACAAGAAATCCTGTGCCCAAGACACTCTCACATTTCTCCCTGTTGTAGGCATGTTTGCTTGTTACATTTCTTTTCAATAAAGGAGTCACAGCCTGCAAAATGCCAGAGCTGACTGAGGCTTATTTACAGGAATATCAAAATAAAAGGAAAAATATAAGGAAACTGAACCTGAATGAAAACCTACACAGTGTGTAAATACCAGTGCAAAGTCTGAGGTTTGAGGCTTTGGGGATGCTGATGGCATCCTGGAAGGCACTGGGCACTCTGTAAACCATTAGCTAGGAGAAAGACTGTTCAGCTATAATCAGAGCCACTTCCCTCTGTTGCCACTTCTCCAAGTCCTACCCGAATGCTCTCATAGGTTGCAGCAGCTCTCTCAGGGTCATTATCATGAAGTTTAAAAGCAAATCCTGTTTCCACCAATCCTGGAGATATACACTGGAAAAAAAGCAGAGCACATCCTAATAGGATTTGTAACTCTCCTTTAGTAAAGGAATGAAAAAAAAAAAAAGAAAAAAAAAGGAGAGAAAATCTTTTAGCACTGAAATAGCCAAAAAAATCCCCATCCCCTTTCTGTTATTCTCCTTTCCTACTCCTTTTTTTTAGGGGAATAGTTGAACTTTGACTTAATGATGGTTGTGGTAGGTACACCTGGACGACTACTGGTGGGTACTTCCCTTTTCACACCCCAGGGAAGCAAAGGAAAACATGGAAAAGCTCTGACTGAGAGCAAAGAACCAAGCTGACTGCCTCCCTCTGTTACTGTGACCCCTCTTCACTCCCCAAAAAACCAACTTCCCACTTCATGCACCCAAAAACCTTCTCCCCACACACAGCTCATTGCTGCTGTGCCTTCTGCTCACAGGGACAGTTTGCCAAGGACTTCTTGATCATTCCCAGTGTGCTGAGCACTGTTTTTTCAATTCCTTGCCTCTTTTCCAAGGGGAAAACCTCTGCCCCATGAAGTCTCCCAGCTCTCTACCCCCCACAAAAGCCACAGGGAGGAGAGGAGCCCACAGTACTCACTGTAGCTCGTATATGAGTCTTTGCTTCTCTGAGTTCTTGCCTCAGCCCCTCGGTGAGAGCTGTAACTGCATACTTGGTGGCACTGTAAAAATGCACCACGGACTGTGGCACAACACTGTGCCCATTCATGCTGAGGAGAGAGCAGAAAGGAAAGTGCTGAGAGGTGGGAGGGGAGCAGAGTGCTGAGGGGAACCAACAGGATACTCAAAGCACATCATGAACACAAAGAGAGGGTGATGGAGGGACTCTGTGTTAGGAGCTGCAGGGACAGGACAAGGGGCAAT